GGTGATGGAAATGTCCATGTCTTCATTGTGGTGGGAACACAAGTGTATGCATTTAACAAACATTGTCAAATGTAAATGTAAAATGGGTCCATACTTATGTATGTAAACAATACCTTAATAAATTTGATTTTTAAAAAGAAACTATTTGAAAAAATAGTATTTGTTTATAAAACAATCTTTCATGAAGGATAGTTTAGTTTTCCAAAGTTATATGTCTTGTCTCTTACATTAAGTCTTGCTGAAAAAAACAAAATAAACTTAAACTTTCTAAAGTAAGCTTAATTCTTTTGAAATTAGCTTCTGCCTCTTGTGCATAAACCTGACATCAATTTAGATTTTTCTCTTTCTGATTTTGTAATAATAAATAGTATTAATTACTAAGTCAAAATCAGATAAATTAACAGAAATTTTAAGAGATAATAAGAACATACACAGTGATTGTATTAAGGTAGAATAGGAAACCAAATGCATTCTTCATTGAAGTTTCCCAGCTGGGTATGCAAAGGATGTCAGCTGTGTAAATAGCAGGTAGGGACGAAATGTATGTTGGAACTGAGCATTGTAGAAGAATTGCTATGTCTCATATACCATTAAAAAGAGAATAGGTCTTAATCTATTCTTTAGTATACCTTTCATCTAAAATAATTGCTTTAATAGCAATTCTATCCTTCAATAAATGTGAAATACTTTTGGTACTGGCAAATCCCCAAGTTTAAAGGATCACCACACAGAGTAACATCAGTTTAGTGTGTGGCTATTAGGAGTGGACTCAGTGTACTCACTGACATAAACACGTTTGAAGCATTTGAAGTAAAAGAAACTCTGAGTTTAAGTGTGTTCATTTGGCTCCTTCCCATATATGATTGGAGATTTAGTTTGATAAAAATCTTTTCCAGGCATCTTTAATTGTAAAGCAGTGAACTGGAAAATTTTGCTCAGCTAATGTAAATACTGTCTTTAGGGGGCAGTACTAAACCACTGATAAGTTTTGTTATTTCTGTTAATGCTACTGGTATTTGTTAATACAAAATTTAAATAACAATAATGAGATTGGCAATGAAATTATGTTCACCCCTTAATATTAGTAAAATTTTCTAGGTATTCAAGTGAAAATGACAGTTTGAAAGTTATTTATTAATTATTCATTCATTAAATAATTATTGAATTCCATATGCACAACACATTATAAGAGATACAAATGTGAATAAGGTAGTGTTTGCTTTCAAATAACTTACAATTAACTGGATAAGTAAGCTGCATGGTAGTGTGTATGTGTTTGTATGTGTGTGCTGTGTATGTATATACAACTCTTTCAGGAAAAAGATAATAAAAGTTGCAAACTTTATTGCTTTTTATGTGTCAGTCACTGTAAAGCAATAATTTTATCTTTGTACAGCCCTATCAAGTAGGAATTATTATTATACCTATGTTGCAGATAAGGAAACTAAGATTAATAAGACGATGGGATTTGCTCAAAGACACACATCTTGGAAGTGGAAGAGCCAGGACTTAAATATATATGTAATTGACTGCACAGCACTCCCCTTTACCAATATGCTACCTATGATCTCAAGGTATATGTGAAATATAATACCCAAATTCACACAAAGAGCTATAGACATTCAGGAGACAGTAACAGCATTTCTGTTTGTGGGAATTCTGGAAAATTCTATATAGGAGGTGAAATCTGAACTCTATTTTGAGGACTCCATGGGATTACTACAGAATAATAGCTAAAAATAGTTAATATTTATTGAAACCATATTATGTGTCAAGCACTTTATAGTCATTACCTCATTTAATTGTCAGGAAAAATTTCAGATTCTACTGCATGATTTTCCCATTGCATAGATCAGGCAAGTGAGGCTGACATATCTCATGAAAATCACACTAATAAGTAGGCCAATAGGTAGAAGAGTTGAAAATCCAGAACCAATTTTAGAGCCTAAACTCTTGACATGTACAATATGCCGTGCGGAGAGGTTCAGATGGGAGGAGTGAGTAAAAGCTTGGCACGTGATCAGGAAAGAGTAAGCAATTCTATTTGGTTGTAGCCTGGAGTGAGTATAATTGAGTAAGTAAAAGAGCAGAAAAATAGTTGGAACCATAGAACTATGAAGCCATATTAAGGAATTTAGTTATTATTTACTATGCAATGAGAAATAATTGGACATTTCCGAGCCATAAACAGAATTTTTCTTGGGGAAGGAGAACGACATAGAGGTTTCCCTGTCAGATTGAATCAAATAACTGTGGTACCATTAACAAAAATAGAAAATAACTGATTAATATATGAAATGTTGATAATTCTTGGCTGAGTATATAATGATTTATAGTTCCATGCATGTCAACATTGATGGTCAAACCACTAACTTATCATGAGATGGTGAAGGAAATGCCTGTTTGGTTATTTTATTTCTTTTTGTAGACAGTATTGGTTGTACAGATAGATGTTCTTGCTAGATGAAGGTTTTAGATGCCCCACGATATTTTTCACCCAGGTATCTGTAGGGTCAAATCAAAACTCCCTGTGATAATCACCTTTTATTACTGATTTGAGAAATGTGTATTTATGGAAGTATGAGCTGCTATGTAACAACTTACAGAAATTTTCACTGGCTGTCATAGATAGCAAAAACGCTTTAAAAATATGCTTCTTTGATTTCAGCTGCAATTGCATCAGCTTGGTTGTTCAGTGTAATACCTTTTACAGGCTATTATGCTGCGTGAGAGGCCATGTAGGATAGTGGTCAGGGGAGTAGCTCTAGAATCAGGCTGTCTGGATTGGAGTTTTTCTTCTGCAGCTTACCAGACCTTTCTGTGCCTAGTTTAGCATTTGCCTCAAAGGGCTGTTGTGTGAATTAAAATAATGAACAAAAATCCTATGACACTACAATGTCATATAGTAAGAGCTCAAGAGATTACAGCTATATATATATATTTTTTTCTATATATTCTTTTTTCGAATGTAATTGATGTTAATATACCTAAATAACAATGATATAATATATTGCTATAAAATAAATTTAATTTCAGGGAACTTCATGTACAATAAATTTGTCACCAGGAGAAGTTATTATTGTATCTTATAGACAACTGTTTTGAGGGACTATTTAAGTGCATAATCTCTCAGCTATTGAAAATTGATAAAGGCAAATTTAAGATATGAATGCAGAGGAACAAAGTTTTAAAAAGTCTTATATTTTATTTTTAAAATGAACAACTTTTTTGGGGGGAGTTTATATTGTAGCGTATCTTTGACTAACTTCAGTAATTATGATCTGTGAGTGTTGTGCTGTCTCCTTTGTTGCTACTCAAATAGTTCCTCGGGTCATTTTTATGTCCTGTTCTTCATCATGAACTTTGTATGGAACATTCCAAAGAGTTTTAGACAAGCTATCTTTTTTCTTTTTTAATTCAGTCCCTGAGCAGTCAGCAGGCACTTTGAATACAGTTTTCCTCAGTTCTGGCAAAATTTCTTGCATTATGCCTTTGATAATTTGCTTCCATCTCTACATGGACTTCTTAGTTTGATCCCCTAGTTTTCTTAACTTTTAATTTTTCTTCTTTTGTTCTCCCTTTTGGGAAATTTCCTCAGACTTAGTTTCCAACTCTTCTATTGGATTTATGGATTCATTTGTTCTGTAGCGTTCTGTTCTTTTTTCACAGAGGCAAATATCTTCTGTTTCTCTGAGGATACTATTTATGACTTTTTTCTGTATATTTATTTTGGTTTCTGTTAAAGGCTCCCTTCAAATATGTGGTGATCCCTGGGTTCTTATTTATTTTTAACTAAAAAATGGCTGAATTGTTTATGTGGGTGGAGCTTGAAAGGTGGACTTCACAATAGGGCTTAAGGCATAGCCCCGCATTTTCCTAGGTACTGATGGATTTTTTTCTCTTGGGAGGTCAGTTTTTGCAGAAAGGAATCTTTTCTAGTCTCCTACCTGGGTGATACAAACTTAGCTGCCATGTTCTCTAAGGCAAATGTGGGAAGGTACTAGGGTGGGTTGGAAATTCACATTGACTGCATAGATATTCAATTAATTCCTTTGTTTTTAAACAGGCTCCCCTCTGCTCACTGTGCATGGATTCTTAGAATTCATCCTCCCTTTGCTTCAACCTCTCCAGAAAATGAACTTCCAGTTTCTTGTCAGGTAGTGAAGTAGATGGGCCTAGGAGTCCTTGTAGAGTTTCTCTCCCATTGCAGCCCCACCTGCACCTGCATCTTCACAGGTAGTCAGTCTCTCCAGTGTGAGGCCCCTTTGGGGACGATAAGTCATGAGCAGACATGCTTCTTGTTCTTCCCTCTTGCAAGCCCTTTGCTTTCAGCTTTTTCAAGTTTGCTAAATCAGGTAATACCCACCCACCTGATTGTCCTTATCCAAAAGTTTTGATATTGCTCATCTGCTAATATCTTTCCTGTTGTCCTTGTCCTTATGGTTTAGACCATTTTTGCAAAGCCTTTGCTGTCATTTTAGTGAGATTTGGGAAGCAGCAAAAGTATTTATGTTCAAGGCAGAAGCCCCATTATTAACTTGAAAAATATTACCCCTGCTATGTGTATACTATGAAATTTTATGAAGTTTATTTTTTCAAAAAGGTAATTATCTTTTCAATGACACTGTGAAAAAATGGATTTAGCACTTCTTATTTCAATGAAGTATTTTCATACTATTCCTTTGATTGCATTTAGAAATCATATAAGATGTTTCTCCTTTGTTGCTATTCAAATAGTTCTTGGGTCATTTTTATGTCCTATTCTTCATTATGAACTTTGTATCTTATCAATCTTTCTCACCCAGTTTTTTCACTTTCAACTTGAATTATACATGTTTTCGGGGGGCTTAGTCACATGGCTTACTACCACCAACCTATGGATAGAATTCAGCTTTTTGCTTGCTAACATACACCACAAGAAATTAATGTAGTTTAATTGATGTTTAGATACCTAAATAACAATGATATAATATATTGGTATAATATAAATTTAATTTCAGAGAACTTCATCTACAATAAATTTGTCACCAGGAGAAGTGGAAGAAGATGATGATGATGAGAACACTTGTGGGCCCTCGGGACTCTGGGAAGCGTTGACTCCTTGTAATGGATGTAGGAACCTTGGCTTTCCCATTCTTGCACAGGTAACGGTTTGCTTTTCCTAAGGTACTATAAAACGTAAAAATGGTTGCCTATGTTTTTAAGTAAATTCTTTTTCCCCCTCTGAAAATCCAATCAGTATCCTGTTCACTTTGTAGTTTTTATTCCGTTAAAGGTCAATACAATGTTTATGTAACGTGCTGTGCTTGGGTGCATATGCAAATGATGAAGACTTTACATAATTTTATGTGGTTGTTTTGCTTTGGTTATGAGGCTAGTTCCAGAAAAATGAGTGGTTTATGAGGCTTTTAATACTTGTGACCTAGAAATAGATACATTTTAAAGAATGCTATTTTGAAATTAAATCACAGTTTATATTAAAATAATAATAAAAAACGATTTACTAGGAAACACATTAGGGTTCCTTAAAAGCATAGTCAGTTTTTTTTTTTCCTTAAGACAGTGGAACATTATAGAATAATGTTATTAGAGCAGAGAATTTGTGTTGAGTCGTATTATGGTGGATAATCTATATTGCTTTCCTCCAAGTCTTAGATGAGATGTCCACTTCTGCACCACACGCAGTGCAGGGCTTTGAGGCTCTTGTTAAAGAGTCAGTTCCACTGAGGCCTCCGGCTTCCATCATGTTCACTTATGTAGCCTCCATTCTGCAAGATCGAAATGAGAGGTCCCAATATTGAGCATTTAGCTGTTTTTGCAACCAGCTTGCCGGTAGTCTCAGTCCATATTTATGCTGCCCTCTCAGGGGAGTCCAGCAGGGTGCTGGAAGTACCCTCTGAGTATGAAGCCCTTGCTATTGACAATGTTAAGATATGTTGAAAGCATCCACATGTCCATGCTCGCTGTGGCTGCTCCTGTGGATTTGTGACGACTGCTCCTGTCCTGCTGTTTCTCTTGAGTCTGCAGACTTGGTTGCAGTCATATCTGTGGCACCCCTGCTGCCATCCCCATCCTTCTTTCAGGCACCGTAGGCTTTGTGACAGCAGAAGTATGTGAACTCTTGAATGCAGTGTATGTGGGAGGCATGTTAAACTCATTCCTCCCCAGCATAACCATAAAGGCTAGCCCCAAACCCTTCAGGGTTAATGTGAAGTCCTGATGCTTACTTGATCTTGATCCCTTCAGTAAGAATGAATGGCATTTGCCTAGGGGGAAGACAAATCAGAACAGAAAGGGAGACCATATGTCTGCTTCTATTCCTATAGCTAATAAAAGCTTATGAGAAGAATATTGAGGTCTCAAGTCCAGCTTTCCATCTGATGTAGAATCTCCTCTATACTATCTCCACAGTAACCACAAGGATCACTCTAGTTTGGCTTAGACAGTTCCACTGCCAGTGAGGGCACTCTTATAATTCACTACTGAATAGCCTTGTATAAACTTTTATATACTTGGAGTTAGACTTTCTGCTGGTTAAGTGGTATGCACTTCAATATTTTGATAACTACTAACAAATTGTGCACATGCACACAAACACATCACACGGCCACTGATGTATACAGATATCAGTTCATGGCAGTCCTGGGGAGTTGTTTCATCCCATAGCATTCAGCCTACCTAGGTTGGAGTACAATATGTTAAGAATAGATTGGTCGGAATGCTGCAGATGGCAGTACAATACTGGAAATGAAATTGAGTTGCTGAAAGCTAAGGCATCTCTGAGATACCTCACCAAGCCTGGTGAACACTTTGGCGAAACAGTAAGAACCTCCCTAATGTGCATGGCCTCCGGAGGGAGGTTCATCTGGCCCTGAGCCCTTTCAAATGTGATGCATTTCCCAGGTGAGCTTCAGTACCAAAGGCTCTCCAGGACTTTTTGTTGCTCTCCCAAAGTACCCTGACCCCATTTTCTCGGGACTCTGCAAAGACTTAACCACTGGGCTCTTGTCTTCCTCCTCAAACCCTGTTATGTCCAACGTGCCCTCAGCTGGGATGGCCTCCGTACCACTGTAAGCCTCCACTGGTGGACTCAGGATGTAAACAAGGTTTTCCCAGAGAACAAAAAGATCTCTTGTATCTGACCGGGGACACGGCTGAAGGTAAAAGGAGTAGTCAGTGGCAAGCTTCAGGCGGAACTTGTTTTTTCCTGTTATGAATGGATATCTTTACAAACCTCAAGGGAAGCAGCCTGGTTAGCTCTAAGATCTGTGTAGGTTTGTTATCTTTTCGCTGGGTGGCAGAGCGGGATCTGTGAGCGTCATCACAGAGAGCAGCTGGTTGGGCCAGCAGCATGACATCAGGTAGTGTGAGATGGGGCTGGTGCGAACAGTGCCCACAGTCACCATTGGGGCACGGTTATGCATGTCAATGACTTCTCTTTTGCTGACCTGTATTAAGTCACTCTCAAACACTGGCATGTACTCAAATATAGTATACCCCTCCCTGTACAATTGCTGCTGCAGTTTCCCCACGGAGGTACTGAACATGCCCACTGCTGGGCTGCTTTAGGTGGCGTAATATGGTAACTTAGACTGGCTGTTCATGGCTTCCCTTTGTCAAGACGGCTCCTAGGGGCTCCTCCACACCTTTCTTACCACACTTTGCCATACATCCTGTTTCCCTGGTTTCTCGGTGGGCTAGCAGTGGTCTTCTGCATGCGCTTTTGTCTCTGAGCAGCTGGGAACAGTGAGGATATGGATTACCAACTGATCAGTGACAAGTTTCACACCTGGATCCTGCCCTGCCTAGAGTGTGGAGATGTCCAGATGTGCAGATGTCGAGGCGCACAGAGGTCACGGCCCCAGTAGATGTTGGGGTGTGCAAATGCCAAGGTGCACAGGAGTCGTGGTCCCAGTTAATGTCAGGGTTCGAAAAGCTGGAGGTGCGCAGAGGGCACAGTCCAGGTAGACGTAGGGGTGCACAGATGTTGAGGTGCACAGATACTGATGCTAACTAGAACGTGGCATCAGAATCTCTACTTGTGCCTGATACATCAATTCACAGTAGCCTTTGTTCTTTGAAGCCCCAATCTCACCTGCCAGTAGTAATCCTGCTCCTCTCCTCTCAAACCAAAGCCTCCACCTAGGTCTAAACCACCCCACCATCCTCTCCTGCCCCTGTGACCTGTGCCAGCACACACCCTTTGTCTCCATCCAGCAGCCCCTCCCCTCAGAGGGGCTGTCCTCTGCACCTCACCCCATGCCCCCCCACCAGGCTGTCCTGCCTGCCACAGCTCTGGCAGACCACCCCCTGCCCCCAGGGACCCATCTAAGGGTCTAAATACATCCTGGCAAATTGCTTTCAAAATGTGTGGAACAAACAATTAATTATGAGTTTAAAATACACATACTCTTATTCAGCACTTCTAATTGTGAACAGTTAGAATGGTAGTAGACAGTTTACCTTAAAGAGAAAATTGGGCAAGTTGGTAAAGTTGGCACAGGATGTGTGTCAAGGTGGAAAAAGGAGATCATAAACAAGATTAATATCTTACAGTAGGGGTTTGGTTAAGTAAATTATGGAGCATTCTGTGACAGAAAACTCTGCAGCCATAAAAATGATTATGTAGTTCTCTGTCTATTGACCTGAAAAGATATCCCTGACATTTTTTTTAAGAAAAACAGAGCAAAGCAAACAGATTTCGAACTAGCATTATACACATGGTCCAATTTATGTAAAATCATCTGTGTGTGTGTTTGGGTATGAAACTATGTTCAGTGAAAGTGCTTATCTCTGGATGGTGTCATTTTTATTTTCTTTGTACTTTTATTTTTATTAGGATAATTATTTCTATTAACAGGAAGAATAAAGCTATTTTTATTAGCAATGTCTATTTTTACAATCACGATAAATTTTATGTTTGACATACCCTCAAATTGCCAATGAGATTTTTTAAAGCTTTTCCCTAGACATCTGTATCTTGACCATACCATGTAAAGAGCCTTAAACATCCTTAAACATCACACTTACATTCTATTCTTTACCCACTATTAGACTGTGTGTGTGTGTGTGTATATATGTATATATATGTATGCCTGAGAAGTTTTTGCCAACTGTTATAAATGCTATCAATTCAATAAGATTAAAATATCTTTATTGTCACACAAGATACCTAACACATACACACATACATGCAAATATATATAAAGCCATAGTTTTTGAGTCTTTAGTTTGTTCTATAAGTCAAAACATTTTTCTTCCCTTCATATAGAAATATCTCTTTATTTATAGTAATATGGGTATTTTTCCTTTATTTATTGAGAGAACTATTCATTGTTCAATCACAATCCAATATCAATCTGAAGTCATTACATCTTAATTTCTGCTTCATGTCTACATTGCTTGTAATTAGGAAAGGCAATAAACCTAATATACATTTAGTAATCAAACTAACATTTTAAGTGTATCCAACTGGTTCAGCTGTTTTGTGAAAGGAATAGGAAGCACTGGACATAGTGTAATTTAATTTATGTGATTAAAAAAATAAAGTGAAGATATACCTATTTGCATAAAAGCACTTCTATGTCGTGCATGTATATTCCAAGATATTTATCTCAGGCTTCCATTAAGTACTGAGTTAATTGCCTTGTGTTCAGGGAAACCAGAAACTATATTACTTGTATGTCCTATGGGCCTTCAGGTTTTTTCCCAAACCAGACTTTAGACCAACTGTAGAACCTCTTTTATTTGGCCTGATAATCATCATGTGTAGCATTCTGGCAGATATGTCTCTATTTTCATGAATCTGATGACATTGATCTGAAATTCCTCTAGCTATTTAGAAAACTACCTTATTAGTACTTGCCCTTATTAGTATTGTACTTTAGTATATACTTAAGTAGCTCTGATGGTTAAGTAAAAATCTACCTCAACCTTATATTAAGAAATTCTTTTTACAAGAATGCAGCAGCTTTCTGGATGCTTGCTCTTACAACAGATTTTCATATACTTAGTCATTAGATATTCTTAAAATAAATTTATTCTCCCTCTCCTCTACATTAGAGTTTGTGTCATTGGGCAAATCATTTAACCACCTGGGCCTTATTTTTCTCATCCTTGAAAACAAGGTGATCCTTTAGGTACCTTTCAACTTCACAAGCATTGCGGTTTTCTGATAGAGGTTTAACTTTTTTACCCCTGTAATAAAATTACTACATACTCCTGAAATACTTCAGGCAGTAATAATGAGTCAAAGAATTACTCAGATATCAATTCCCAGCTTCAGGAATTGTGTGATTCAGTACATAGTCTATTTCTGCTGATGAATTTCTTCTTGCTGAAACTTTTGAAAGAACCAATGTTTGAAATGTGGAAATGATAAAATGTCAGTTCGGTAAGATGGACAGTCAATCAGTGGGGGCAGTGTTTAAGACAATGTAATTGAAAATATGGGTTAAACATTTTAGATAGAATTCAGTTAATAAGGAACAGGCTGTGGTAAGGCAGATGAATTTCCCCAAAAGATGTCTACATCCTAATCTTCATAGCTTGTGAATATGTGACCTCATATGGTAAAGGGACTCTGCAGATGTGATTAAGTTGAGGGTCTTGAAAGGGGAAGTTAGCCTGGATTACCCAGGTGGGCCCAGTGTAATCACAATGGCCTTCATACGGGAGAGGCAGGAGGGTCAGTCAGAGAAGGATATTGGATGATGGAAGCAGAGGTCGAAATGGTACAGCATGAGCCTAGGAATGCAGGTGTCTGAAAAGTAGGAAATGGATTATCCCCTATGCCCTTAAGCCCCCAGAAGGAACCAGCCCTGCCAAAACCTTGAGTTGAGCACAGTGAGAATCGTTTTGGACTTTTGATATCCAAAACTGTAAGAGAATAAATGTGTGTTATTTTCAGCTGCTAAGTTTGTGGTAGTTTGTTATTGCAGCCCTGGGAAACTAATAAATACAGATATTGGTATCTGGAAGTGGGATGCTGCTCTAAGAAATACATAAAAATGTGGAAGTGGTTTTGGAATTGGGCAGTGTATAGAAAATGAAAGAATCTGGAGTAGCATGATAGAAGAAGCCTAGATTGCCTTGAACAGAAATATAAATGTTAAAGATTCTGCCAGGGAGGGCTCAGAAGTGATAGGGAGGAGAAAACATGTATTGTCTTAAAAAATACCTAAATAGTCATGAACAGAATGTTTGTAGAAGCATGGTTGTTAAAGGCAGTACTGGTGAGGATTCAGAAGGAAGGAGGAGAATGGTAGTGAAAACCAGTATTTTAGAGAATACCTGAATCATTATAGTGCGTTGGTAGACATATCAATGTTAAAGGTATTTTTTATAAGAACTGAGAAGTAAATGAGAAACATGCTATTAAAAACTGGAAGAAAGGAGATACTGTATAGTAGTAGAAAGCCTAGAAGAATTGTATTCTATAATTATGTGGAAGGTAGAACTGATAAGTGATGAACTTGGATATTTAGCTGAGGAAATTTCCAAGCAAAGTGTCGAATGGCAGCCTGGTTTCTTCTTGTTGCCTATAGCAAAATGTGGGAGGAAAGAGATAAATTGAGTAACTTGTAAGCAAGAAGGAACCAGGATTTGATATGTTGAGACATTCTTTGCCTATCCAGATTTTTAAAGGTTGCTAAAATTTGTAGATTCTCTGTCAAGAAAGTATGTACTGGAGAGAGAACCAAAGCTGCATCTGGATTTTTTTCTAGTGCCTCAGTAGGATCAGAAAATCGGATTGTCCAGTCACACAGAGGGATCTTTGAAGAGGTCTTAGCCATCTCAGCACAATCAAGAGATGGCATTATCCAGGAAAGGTCTGAGGAGGATCTTCTTGTTTAATGGAATTAATTTCTGTGACATACATGAGATACCCACAAGGTTTTTGAGAGCAGTATATTAGCAAAGACAGTGCCAGCTTGGACTGAAAGGAACAAGGAGAAGACACAGTTGGATTCCTAAAGGAAAGGGTTCTTACTGGCAAGAAACTAGCTTATAAAACTATTCAGCTACAAATAAATGTTAATCTTTATGAAATAGGAATTAAGACTCAGAGTATAGGGCTGAGGGCCCAGAGGATGGAGCTGAGAACTACAAAGGATTATTCTTAGGCCTTGAAGCCCACTGGGGTTTGCCTAGTGGGTTTTCTAAATTGCCCATGACTGTTGACTCCCTTTTATCCTTTCATGGGAATATCTATAATTATTATTCTATGGTACCTGTCCTACCAGTGTGCTCTGGGAGCCAGTAACTTGTTTTCTAATTTCAATATTCACAGATAAAGAGGAATTTTGCCTCAGGATGGATTATACCCAAAATTTCTTCTGCATCTGATTGATTTAGATGATGAGATTTGGGACTTTTGAGCTGATGAGATTTTTGAGTTTAAGCCGATGTAATGTGTTGAGTCTTGGGGGGGATGTTGAAGTGGGTAAATGGATTTTACATGTGAATGGATGTAATTCTTTAGGGCCCAGAGGATGACCAGTATAAATAGAATAATGTCCTCATCCCTATATAAATGTCCCTGTTCTAATCCCTGGAACCTGTGACTATGTTAATTTATATGACAAAAGGTACTGCCAATGTG